TCTCCTGTCTGGCGCTGTGGAGAAGCAGTGAGGTCACCAAGACACGTCCCCCTCCTCCAGTCAGAGCTCACTCTCCTGTCTGGCGCTGTGGAGAAGCAGTGAGGTCGCTAAGACACGCCCCCCTCCAGTCAGAGCTCACTCTCCTGTCAGGCACTGTGGAGAAGCAGTGATGTCACTAAGACACGCCCCCCTCCTCGTGAGGAGTTATGGAGTGATTTGCTATCGAAGATGATTGGTCACTCTGACAGGTGGGCGTGCCTGCTGGTCCTCGTGCTCCTGCGTGACAGGAGAGCAAGCAGGTGTGATTCCAGATTGGGTGGGAATAAAAAGGGGGGGGGAAAAGTTTTGGCCATTCCCAGTTGCTCCCGGGATAGCCTCCAGCTCTTCCTCAACCCCGAATTGGCTGAAGAGGTTAGAAGACAGATCGACGCGCCAAGTTAGAATTGTGTCATCACACTGGGGGGGGTGTCTTTCTCTCTGTAGGAGTGCGGCGATCCTACACGTTTGGGCCAGCGGGGGGTGGCTATGAAGACCCAGTACAGTAAGACCTCGTCCTAGCAGCTTATTATTAACGGTGCCATCCTTTCCCGTCCGTCTGTGAGTCTGTTGCGTTCACGTGCTTTTGTTGTCCCGACTTGTTTAAACCATCCCCCCCCCAAAAAGGGAAGCGATCGGTTGCCCTTTTCCATGACGTTAATGCAAAAAATCCATCTGTGTGCACGCATTGCAGTGGAAAAAGTCAAATAGAATGGGGGAAAAAAATAGGAGAGTCAGGAGTGCTGGGCCTATGCAGCACAGAATGAACGTTGGCTGGGGGCGAATAAGTCACAGCTTATTCGGAACAAGCCCACACCAATTCAAGCGGTCCTGTGAATCCATCTCTTTTAATCCAATAGAAATGTCGCTCCTGACTTCCAGACGGTTTCACTGGCAAACACTGCTCGCTTGGTAGCTCTGCCTGCAGATCACGCTGGAACATCTCTGGGGTGAAATGCCTGCTGCACAACCTGCACTTATTCCCTCGTACATCTCAGTCCATTAGTCAGCACAGGGACTAGTGAGCAGGAAGGGCCGCTTCACATCTCAGTCCATTAGTCAGCACTGGGACTAGTGAGCAGGAAGGGCCGCTTCACATCTCAGTACATTAGTCAGTACAGGGACTAGTGAGCAGGAAGGGCTGCTTCACATCTCAGTACAGTAGTCAGTACAGGGACTAGTG